AGTGAGTGATGTGGAGCAGCTCGCATATATGAAGTTTTTCGAACGCTGTTCCATCGTGTATCAACGGNGATCGATACCCCGACTCATATGCACGGAAACAACAGCAGAGGAAACCCAGAGGGTACCCCCCCAAGAAGCCGACTGGGCTTGCAGATAATGCGATAGATGTTCTTCAGACATAATACAAGAGCTAGCTGTTGGTCGATTCATTAACCACCAGACTAGCATGAGATGGAGGTGCATACTCACTGGAACCTCCATGTACCTTTCAGTAAGCTGATCTCTAACCACTCTCCCAGAGACGTTGAACATGCCGCGTAAAAGGAACTCGGTTTAACGAGCTGAACACCTTCAAAGATCGCGGATGCTTTGGGTTGTTTTCAAGGCATCCTAACGACGACGCAAGAGTGTTCCAAAGGCGACGTTCGTCTGTCCTGGCGAAGAATTCGAAAGCACGACTGAGAGAAAGGACAGACTGTTAGGAAAGGTGGGTAAGTTGAGCTTGTCGAAGTTGGATGGAGGGCGCAAAAGAGGGGGGGAGGAGAACAAGTGAAATAACGAAATTGGAGGGTAAATCGAAGGAAAGAAATTACGAACGAAAGTGAAATTGCAGTCATAGGAACCAATATGCGCTGAGGTTGGTGGAAGACGATAGCGTAAGAAACGCGGAGAAACGACCAAAACGGAGACCATAGGAGATTAAAATCAAAAAAGGACACCCACCTAAGTATACGGACTCTGAATGAAGGCGCATAGAGTCGATCTTGAGCTTGACAATCCGCATCCAAAGTCAGGCCGAAAAACATGCTCCGCTGGCGGACCTGGCTTGCTTCGCAACGTGCCGGGAAGGTGGAGAAGTATGCCGAACAAACTTGACGTTGGCCCTTGTGCATCTTTTCGTGTCCAAAATCGAAGTCGTTGCAGAAGCCCAGTCCCAATCGGCGAACCACCCGACCCATCAGCACTCCCCTCAACGTTATCCTACTTCCTCAACACCACGAAATAAACAGCAAGAACCACCACCAAGCCGATGGTAAGGATCACACCCAAGACGCCTAGCAAAACTTTGGTCCGTCGTTTACTCGCTTTCACTTGAAATCTAACCACGGTCGGTTCTTCGGCTGTTGAGTCACCCAAAGCCTCCATATCCTCAGGCTCCACCCCCGCCACGCAAATTGAAGCAAACGCAAGTGGTTGTTCCTCATTCGAGGTGTCATTGTTAGTCACACCGAGGGCTTGAAAAAAGTCGGCAGTAAGAGACGAGCGCTTCGAAAGGAAGGCGGGTGTAGAGCCTAGAAAGTCATCGGACGAGTGGAAGGGGGATGAGTCGCCTGATCGAGGAACATGTGAGTCGTCTGCGGTTCAGTCAACGATGCGCCTTGTGGGAGGTGGTGAGAAGTTGTGATAATTGGCGCTGAAAGAAGGTCGGTGAACTCGGGTGGCTGGAGCGCCGATTGGTCTGTGGCTGCTGGATGGTTGACGACCATAGCCTCGCAAGTGGATGGTGGTGATGGGTGTCTGATGGTGGTGATGAGTGTTTGACAGAGGACGGTGGTGGGTCCTCTTCTTGCACAACAGGGGCAATGTACAAGGATGGTTGGCTGTCGAATTTGTGGCATGTCGTCCGAGCCGAATCGCCAGGGCTTTCTCTGTGCAATTATCCAACACCGCGGCAATGATACGGCATCCAAGGCGAATAGGAGTTGAGAAGACGTGAGGTAACGTCCAACAACAGCAGCGCTGGAGGAATAGCCAAGCCCAGGTGATTGGAGCTCGGTATTGCCTGTGAAAGACGGCAGCAGTGCTCAGGGGTTTCGTAGCTTTCGGGTGAGGTGATGCTGCACGAGATAGGGCCATATTTGGAGGATCAACCTAACTGCCACGTAGTAGCACGTCGCAGGGCTTCAGAGAACTAACATCAGAAGGCGAAACAGGCGGCATGAATGGCAAACGCACCTCAGTTATCCAACCCAGCTTCAGCCGTCAAATATCCTCAGGCGAACTCGTGAAGGCGAACGGATCACTATATCATCGTACTGTGAGGTCTTGAGGGTGGAAAGCCATTGAGAGCGATAGCTGGCGGCCCTGTAGACTGCGCGACGTGTTGGATATGTTGGTCGAGGACGAGCCCATGATGGTGGTCAAGCTTCAAGATCAAACCTGGATCAAATTTGTAAACATGACAGCCTCACACTTCGGATGTTGATCACAACGAGCACGTCTCTTCTTTGACCTCTGTCGTTCGTTGCGAAAAAGGCGTCCCTTTGGAACTTGTACTCATTATGAGCTGCTGCTCTAGGATGTCTCCTTTTTCTGCCTACGCGATGGCCCTCTGATGCTCTAGGTATTTTTGCGAGGGTCAGGAGTCTTTCTACGGCGACTCATACCAACATACGATCCAGTAATGTATTTTTGTCCCTCTGCCAATTGAACTCTTATCAATCCTTTCGTTAGTCGTCAGATTTCAGTGTTGCCCCTATAAAGAACGCATGACTTCCTTGCCCCAACGCCATATTCGTAAATGACTTCTAAAGAATGGAAAAGGAATGAAGGAGGAAGAAGCGAGGAAGAGGCAAAAAAATGGCAGAGAGAAACAGAGACGAAGAAAGTAGGGAAAATAAAAGAGGGAGTAGAAAACGACGTACACGTCTTTCGCCGACACAAGCTGCATGACCTGATCACATGCATCGAAAGACCTAATGTCCATCCATCCATCGTCGCCTTCCTCTTAACGTCCAGTGCCTCGTCCTTATTCTCCGTGTCCCCTTCGCAAGACACGGGTTCCCCCCTACCACCTTCGGCTTCATACCCTGAAACGTTGACATCAAGTCCACTAGCGTGTCCGTGCATGAATGAGGCCGAACCCCAAAATACGAGTACTGATACAACACATAGCTGCGGCCACTGATCTGCAGATCGTAGTTGTGCTCTCCCTCCTCGAGCTGCATATCCGAGGACGTGAACACAAGCTCGAACACGATTTAGCGTAGAGGGGCCACCGAGGTCGAGGACGGCATATGTGGGCGTATAGGGTGGCGTGAAAGTTTTGATCGTTTTGAGGAGGCAGTTGGCAGTTCTCCACGCGTACATGTACTCGTCCTTATCATCCATGGTCCCCACTCCATCTTTCTCCAGTATTTGGGAGGGATAAGACGGTCGTATCCTCCCTTTCGCACTCAAAATATCAACGCCCTTTGAACCCGGCTACAAACGGAGCTCAACAGTGGCTGTAACAGCTGCTGGGGAACAGCCATCAACCGAAAGACAAGAGCAACTCGTACTCTGGGCTGTAGTAGCTGCATCGACAGAGGGCGTACAATTAGCAGAAGGTGATGATGGAGAGGAGTGGACGTAGAGGGTTGGGATGTTCCGGGGTGATGAGCGAGGGCTTTGAGGTGTGTTGAGGCGGAGGTAGTGGGTGAGGAGGAGCAGCTCGCGTATAGGAAGATTTTGGGAAGCTGGTCCAGCGTGTTTCCAGGACAAAACTGTGAAAGGGGATCGACACCCCGAACATATGCGGGGAAACGGCCGAAGCCGACTGGGGCTTGCAAAGAATGCGGTAGATCCTCTTGAAATAGTACAAAAGCTAGCTGTAGATCGATTCGTTAATCACAAGACTAGCATGAGAATGAGGTGCATACTCACTGGAAACTCCATGAACCCTCCAGTGAGCTGACCTCGGGTGTTTGGACGTTCCGAGGAAAAGTCGGACATCATCAAAGATTGCGGATGATTTGGGTCAATTTCAAGGCACGTATGACTCTCTGAACGACGTTGTGAGATGATTATGAGGGTGTCGTTCACCTGTCCTGGCGAAGACTTCGAAAGTACAAGTGAGGGAAAGGGTGGGCTGCTGGGGAAAGTGGGTGAGTTAAGCTTGTCAAGGTCAAAGGGGCGCGGAAGAGGGGGACGAGCAGGACAAGTGGAGTGACGATATTGGACGGCAAATCAAAAGAAAGAAAGGAGAATCATTGGGCGCCAAGGTTAGCGGCAGAGAAAGCGAATGGAACGGCGTGGAAGGCATCACAACGGTGACAGTAGAAGGAGGTTCAGGACGGGAAGGACACCCACCTGCGCAGAGTTTGAAGGCGCATAAAGTCGATCTTGATCTTCAGCATCTAGAAAGTGACTGGACTTGCGGAAGTAGGGTAAGTCGCCTGATCGCGTAGCATGTGAGCTGTCCGGCGTTCGGCCAATGATGACGAGGATTTGGTGCCTTGTGGGAGGTGGTCAAAAGCTGTGGTAGTTGTTGCTGAAAAAAGGTCGATGAACCTGGGTGGTTGAAGCGCCGATGGGTCTGGGGCTGCTGGGTGGTCGATGGCCGTCGCCTGGCAAGTGGATGGTGGTTATGAGTGTTCGACAGAGGATAGTGGTGGATCCTCTTCTTGCACAACAGGGGCGATGTACAAGGATGATTGGCCGTCGCGAATCTGTGGCACGTCATTTTAGTCGAATGGCCAAAGCTTCCCCTGGTAATTACCCGACACTGCAGCAATGCCACGGGATGAAATGACAAACACGCGTTGAGATCGGATATATAGGGCTGGAAGGAATAGAGGGGTATTGCGGGCGAAACGTGGTGGCTGCTCTGGGGTTTTGTAGCTTTGAGAAGCCATCCGTGAGGTGAAGCTGCACGAGCTTGCAGCCAGATGTGGAGGACCAACTGAACCGACACGTAGTAGCATGGCGCAGGGCTTCAGAGAACTAAGGTCAGAAGGAGAAACTGGCGGCATAGATAGCAAACGCACTTCAGAGTTATCCTACCCAGCTTCAGTCATCAATTGTCCTCAGGCAGACTCGGAAAGGCAGACGAAGCACTATATTTGACCAAGTCATCGTATTGTGAGGTCTTGAGGGTGTGAATCCGATGATAGGGATACCCAAGGGACAGCTCCGCGTGCAACGTGTTGGATGTGTCTTGTTCAAGTCTTGGTCGACGTGCATGATGATGGTCAAGAACAAACATGACTATATCCCACAACACGCTGATCACGACCCTCACCGACACCACCCTCACGTCTCTTCTGCCATCCGTCATGTTCGCGAAAGACTCCCTTGAACCTCTGCTACTTCAATTTTCTAGGACGACCGCTTTTTTTGCTCTACCTGATTGTCCTTCGTCTGGTACTTCATCTCATGTCTTTTCTAGGTAACGTTCTTTGGAATGTCTCCCTCTGTTCCGCGGGATGGGCCCTCATTTGGTGCTTCACGTAGTTTCTGGGAGACTTAGGGTTCTGGAGTCGTTTTCACAATGGCTCGTCATGTATGGGACGTGAATTAGAATACAACAGTACTGTATTCTCCTCCCTACAACCGATGACTACTCTACTGATGCTTCAAAGTTCCGTAACGCCTAAATGATTGAAGAAATTCTAAAATCCCTGCTATGCAGCGTCGTGGAGCGCTATACGGCGCCCCCCCGCCTCCAGATTTTGTCGGGCAATTGCAATATAATATTGGTAACGCTTTTTTTTCTATTCCAAATTCCTTCTCCCGCTTACTATCATAATGACCAGCACCATGAACTCTTTCCGACCTCAGGAGCCGTATATGGGATGTGTGGTCTGGACACTAACAGGATTTGAACAGGGCACGTACAGAGGAGCAGGTTAATGAAACTCAGCCGATCGTGAGATGCCCAAGGAACGTCGCACTGCAAACCCTCGGACCTGAGTACTGAGTCCTTGACCTTTGAAATGCAATGGGTGTCATTGGGTGGTCGTGGCTAGGCCTGATAGCTTCCATCGTCAACTTGTAAGGTATCAACGTTTAAAATTGCTGATGTTGCCTATTCGCCGTGATCTCATTCTCAGGTGCTACCCTTTCCGCATATCCCTTTCTTGTCATCTGTTTCTTTCTGGCGCTTCCCGCACCACGCTCATTTTAGCAAATTTGTTCGACAGGTATGATCAAACTCGCTCTCGGGCGGCCTGTCCAATAAATCAACAAAGAATGATACATGGGAAGCTTGGGTAACTTTTCTCTGCACTGTTGATGGGGTGAACTTTGCGGTCTAAAATGGACAATTAGGGTAGGCCCACGTCAAGAAGAATGTTACACCGCCATACTTCTCGTTCAGGAGGGTGCCCAAGCAGCCGTGCACTGCAATCTGCTTTCAGTAGCAAGTCCCCGGGTCTTTGGTAGGGTCTAGATGGGCGCCAGATTTACAATTTCGATTGCGAAAAGGGCTGTGGGTCGTGTATAGACACACAGGTCATTGACGCCGTCAGTTCGAGCCATGAGCGGAATGATACCTGAGGACCATGCTTAAATTTGGAGCGAGAATTGGGATGTAGACGGAGGCTGCGTAACTACGCTGAAGCGGTTGGCTTCCTTATCTCAAGGAAGTTCGGACCGCGGAAACCAATCGGTTTCCGTGAGCGCCCAAAAGCATTCTTCCGAAACGAAGTTCAAAAATAGATACCGTGATGGCGCATGACCATGGCATGAGG